AAGGAATTTTATTCTTGAAGCAGTGAAAAATTAATCTCGATCGCTGGCGCCCGAAAGCCGCTTCTGGCTGCCCGCGTTGCTCGTCCGCAGGCCCGCAGGGGACGTACACGGATAGGGAAAGTAGGTTTTTTTTTAATTATTGCCAGTAGAGACTCGTCTCCTGAAAACCTCGCAGCCGGCGTAAGTTTAAAACTCAATACCTTCAGGGGAAAATTTTACTTTTATCAAATGTTTTGACCATTAGTTCATGTTCCTTTTGGTTTGGTTAGTACGTGTTCAAAGGAGCAGTATCAGATCGGACACACCAATATCTTATTTAAAAATGAAAGACGTTTACAATCCTCTCTAATGCCAAATTAGAGCGCAACTTTCAAGGACGAGGAGGGGAGGATACGGAGGGGAGGGTATGCCCCTCTTCCCCGTTCCCTCCTCTTCTGCCTCCTCCCATTTAGCGGGACATTTTCGCAAAAATTCTCGTTAAATTTGGCGGGGAAATTTTTTCGCTAAACTTAGTGGAGAAATTCCCCCGCTAAATTTAGCGTGAAAATTTTTCCGCCAAGTTAAGCGCTGAAATTTGCTGGCTAAATATAGCGGAAAAACTTTTCCGGTAAATTTGGCGGGGAAATTTTTCCACTAAAGTTCGCAAAGATTTTCTTCCGCTCGCTTTAGCGGGGAAGTTTTTCCGCGAAATTTAGCGGGAGATTTTTTCCACTAAATTTGGCGGGGATTTTTTTCTGCTCGATTTAGCGGGGAAGGTTTTCCGCTAAATTTAGTGGGAAAGGTTCCCTGCTAAATTTGGCTAGAAAATTTTCCTTCTAAAGCCGCAGAAAGTTCCCCACTACATTTAGCGGGGAAATATTCTCGCATTTTCGACCGCAGACCACAGCACGCGCTGACGACCGTAGACAAATAGAGGCATAGATAAAACGACGATAGGTGATTATGGCAACAGCGCTGCTGTGGATGCAGAAGTCGACAAACTTCTTCCTGTTGATAAAAAAAGGGTCATTTTTGAATGAATGAATGCAGCACAAAGAACGTGGAGCCCAAGGCCATAGTATAGGGGCGGCTTGAGGACGGCATTGATGCACATCGAAGACTCATTCGGGAGTCTCGGACGACATGCCCAACAGCGCAAGCCACAGCAAGTTAGGCGATCCCGGTTCCACCATCCCACTCAGCAAAACCTCTAAAGTTGCCAGACACGCGAACAAAATACTGCCATTTGCGAAGATGTGCAACGTCAGTCGCATGGGGACTGTTTGTCCAGCCCGAGTAAAAGATTCCCCATCCCCCTCGAATGTCTACATGAGCTCGGCTGCGCGGAATTGCGGGATGTTGTTACCGCGTGATGCAAATGCTGGGGGAGCAAAGTGGGGGACGACAAAGGGAGTGAAGAAGCTCCTCCCTTTGTCGTCCCTACACAACTCAGGACAAGCGAATGAGGTTTGTGACGTCTAAAAGAAAAACACCTGGGTTCTTTTATTTAGTTTTTAAGGTAGGCGATCACAAAAACAAAGCTGCGGCTAGTGCTCCATGTGCCTGGGCGTTGTAAATTCGGCAGAATGTCTTGTTATGTGTGTGTGGGCAGACCCTTGACTGCATATCTTAAATTAAGGGCTATTGAATGGCAAATTGTAGCGGCATCGGGTCTCCAGGTACGACACACGAGAAAAAAAAGAAATTACCTTAGGCTTGGATGGAGACTACGAAAACATATAAAAATGTGCCTGCGCCACCCTTGACATAATGAACATTGTAAAAGCTGCGCGTGAAACTGTATAGATGGTATCAGGGATGGGCAAAATACAGGCAAATATGTATCGAAATACAAATAAAAAATACTTCATCAAAAATGTATTTAATTACAAATCTAATTACATTTCTAAAAAAGCATTTAAGTACAATATACAAATACAAACAAATTTATTTTGTCTTCTCCAAATGCTTTTCCAAATACATTCCTCAAAATTTGCGTCAGCGACTTCAGGGCACTTGCAACAGGTTTCTGGGTTTCTCATTTTAATTTTGCATCGCGCACTCAGGAGTTAGTGTGCGAGGCTCTAGTAACGTAATAGAAAATAATCACGAAAAAATGTAATCACCTTGGGCGTAATACGTGAAAAAAGTACAGAGCTTCAAGCAGCTTTTTTAGGGGCGAAGCTCCTTAGGGGCTAGCCATGTCCGTATGTCCGCCCGCCGTCGGGTGCACGTGCTCCTGCCCGTAAGCTCACGCGCTCACGTGCTGACGAGCACGTGAGCACGTGCTCCCGTGATCGTGTAGGGCAAAAAAAAAAAACGCATCTCCACGTGGTGAATGATGTTGATTGGGGCGAAGCTCTGGTGGTGCTTGTCTGCGCAGACGGTGAGCCGCAACATGCCGAGCCTTTCGTTCGTTTTCATCCATGTCGGAAAGAGAATGTGTGGTATGGAACGTGATTATATACGCATTTGAGCATTTGAACGCAGCGTGACATGGATGAAAACGAACGAAAGGCTCGGCATGCTGCGGCTCAGCGTCTACGCAGACAAGCACCACCAGAGCTTCGCCCCAATCAACTTCATTCACCACGTGGAGATGCAGTTTTTTTTTTGTCGATTACATTTTGGTATAGACCAACAAAGAACGGAGACGACCAAGATGCGCAGCACTAGCTAGAGAATTTTTTTATTGTTGCAACTCGCACCAGTTGCGAAAATCTGGACGACCCGCGCATTTAGAATGTTCCGGGCAAAAATATGGATGGATATCAGGATGGAAAGCATCACAAGTTGTCACAGGCACTTTTTTAGCCAGTCTGCCTGTGAACGTCGATTTCGTCACTCTCCTTGGCCTGGATTAGCACCGTAATCACAAAGTCACTAAACGCTTGTGCTTGATTGAGAGACACTGCATTCGGTGCAGAACGTAGTTTTCTTCCAGCTCTGAACTGTGACAATACATTTGAGGGATGTATTTTCTCCCACAAAATTGTATTTAATTACAATTGTATTTGAAATACCCATGTTTTAGTATTTAAATACACACGTCAAATACATTACCCAATTTGTAATTAAATACAAATGCAAAATACACAAAGTATTTGAAATACTGCCCATCCCTGGATGGTATTAACATGGCGTAAAATGTATAATGCGAATCTTTTTTCTCGATGTCACAGTGATGAGACTTATACACTTTTATGCAATATATAAATTTGAGGGAGTCATAAGAATCATTGTGATGGTGGCCGTTTGCACGTGTCATAAAACTCATCGCATAAAAAAGTGGTCGAAATTACGTCCGTGAATACATCCTATACCATTCTCATCAAAAGAAAATGCATTTGCAAGGGTCGGCAAAAAATGCGCACATGGAACACTATTCGGGAAACCGTAGCTTCACCCTGCCCTCTTCAAAGATGTTTTCGTTCACAATAAACGTGTCCTACCCGGTTAACAACAGGTGCTGAACGAAGCGAACCAAATTCAAGCAATGTCAACGGCGTTTCTAAAATCAGTGTGTTGGCTTCTACCACGGTATCTATTTTTTCTGAAAGAGGGGAAGCTCGCTAAACGTCCGTAGCACGGTAAAAATAAATGCGCATGAAAACAGATCATACACTGTTTTCGCGCTATCGCAGCGAAGGCTTCTGACGTTAAAGCACTAAGAAACGGTTGTTCCTTTACTCTTTTTGAACGCTGGAAACCGTTGAAATTTAGATTGCAATTGTTTAAAATATTAGATTATTCGTGAAGACAATTATATTGAGAGTGTCACTATATTTTTTCTCATTCTTACCTGCCAGGTGTACAATTGCTTTCTTTCTTGGTGTACAACAAACGACGGCCACATACCGGTGTGACCTTATAAGTTGGTTTTATTTGTCCGTAAGGATGTGGAAGGTGCGAACTCTTTCAAACCTAGCCGGGAAGCTTTATACATATATTTTGCAAAATAATGTCATCAGAAATGGGTGATAAAAAGGAGCCAGACAGGTCTAATGTTTCTCCCAAAAAATATGGCAAAAATGTGAACAGTTCCTTCCGACGTTGCATCACAAAGCGAGGAAAATTGATTGATGCAGTATCACGTGTAAAAGACCATGAAGTGTACCATTCTCTTTTAGTTTAAACCACGAGTCACACCCGTCATCCAGGTGCCAATCAAGTTAATATACGTGAGAAAATATTTTTGGTAAACGGAATAAAAAACCGAAACGCTAGAAATGTTATCACCTTTTTCTTATCATCCTGGGATGACCCACGAGTAGATCGGAACACCGAAACGAAGAGATAAGGTGCTCGCTTACTTTTGAGTCATACGAATATTTTAGTTTCTGTCGCCTTCGAGGTCGTAATTTGTTTTGTGGCTCATCTGCGTAGTAATCAGCAGTCAGGTAGGAGATGCACAACCAGCGCAACATCTACCCTTGTCGTCGTCTTTGTTTGGGTTCGAATAAGCCGCTACCGATTTAATTAACGGTAGTTTTACGGAAGGTCTTCATAGGCTGCGGGAAAGAACTGTGCGTGTCCGACCGGACAGTGCTATACCACAGCCTGCTAAAAAACTTGATTACATGATGAATCTTTTGGCGCAAAAATACACACGTCTTTCAACCTTCGCCTTAGACTCAAAAACATCCAAGCGTTTCATTTTCCGCAAAGCTCTTGAAAAAGTCAATCGTTGCAATGTTAGAGAGCTGAGCGAAGAAAGAGGCTAATATAATGTTTAGATCTAAGGAAACAGCCCGTAGTGTAACAATGATGAAGACCTTATGCATGTTAACATCCTGTCCGGTTTACCAGCAATTAGTTTACTTTCTACATAAATATATTTACAGCCTCGGGATTCGAAAAGGTCCTTCTGTAGTTTAAAGTGACCCGTTCTCCCAAGTTACGAGCGGGAAAGCAGACACAGCAGATTTCTTATAGTGTACAGCCTTGGCTTGGCTCCGAGTGATTTCTATGCTTTCTCCAATTAAATAAAAAGTAAATATTTTAAATCATCACCATTACAGGCCTCCCAATCGGATCCAGAAGACTGCGACACACACGTTGCACATTCACAGATGTCAACCTTCGGCACTTTTCCCAAGAATGACGCAGCAATTGGGACCGGCGTGCCCCTTTCCCAGCAGGAAACTTCGAAAAAAATACAAAATAACTGTTCATCTGGTATGTGCACCGTCATAATTATATATTGCTGAATTTGCTTCTACTGTTCCAAATTCCCTAGGAGTTAGTCTGTCAAACGCTTAGACTAGAGTCTGTGTAAGGACGCTTTGTAAGAGCTGTGCAGATTGCCACAATACACGGAGAGTTTTCTTCTTTTTATTTTTTTATTATTGTGCACGTCTTTCAGCCTCTCTTGAGATATCACCTATTTTAGATAGACGCCTTGCGCACAATATAATGTTTATTTTTTATTAGGTGTTCAACTCTGTTGTTCTTTTTCCCCTTTAACAAAATAGCATCTCATTTCATGTTCCCCAACGACAAGATAGATTTCCGACCTTCGTTTACCCTTCTAACTTAGAATCTAGTGCTCCATTGACACGCATGCAGTTTATGTATGACACGTTAAATAATTGTAGCGTGGACTTCTTCACTAGAAAATCTGAGGAGTTTCAGAGGAGCGTAGTCCAAATTATTACTCGCTAGTTTTTTTGTTTTTTTTTGTCCTTCGCATTATGCCTTCACAAATCTCCTTAGGCCTGCCAGCTAAGCGGGGGGGGGGGGGAGGGCAAAGTAAATGTGAACTGAATGATTGATTGATTAATCGAGAATAAATTAATTAAAATCCCTAGAGACCGGATTCTAGGCAAATGTCTATTTTGTTCCTTGCTTCATTATCAAGATTTTGGCATGGCTCTCGGCAAAAATAAAATATAGAGTTGTACCTTGGACAAAAACATTTTATCACTTTTCGTTTTGACAGAACGGAACGAAATGGTAGTGGCGACTTAGGTGGAGTTAGTACTGAGATCCCATCCTTTGTTATGAATATTTACAGTTCTCTTGAAATAATTTGGGTGTGTATTACCATTAGACATAAAAAGCTTCTACAGGGATGCTGTTATCGCACACCATCTCATGCTGCCGACTTTTCTAGAAAATAACATAATGCACTGAACCTCCTCTGCTATTGAGGAGCAATTTTAATGACTTGTCAATTGCTTGATGCCCGAGTGCAGCCTTGTCTGATTTATTTTCAGTTGACTGTGCCAAGTTTTTAGAAGTATTTTCCGATTTTTACTTGCTTCAAGTATTTAATAAGTAAACATGGATAACGGCTATTTTATCTAACGTTTTAAACCTTATCCTAACTACTGTGCCCAATTTGATCTGTTTAATCAATTATCTTCCACGCCTTAGCGACCATTTATAATTGCATTTTGCGGTGTGTGTTCCGTTAAACTGTGCCAAAAATCAAAACAGGTTATTCGAGATTACAGCAAAGTCAATTTATATGACATTAACGTTGAATTTGGGCGATTTCTTAGATGCATTTTTGATATATTCTGAAAGCGCTCTGTTGACCAAGTGGACATTTTTTAAAGTTAAGGTTACTTCACTTACTGAAACATACATACCACTAAAACCATAACCTAAAATCATAACACTCTGAGGTTTAACAAAACTCTCCTCAGGCTGTCCAACGACAAGAAACGCTTTCCCGACAGATGACACAATTATTTAGTTGCTGCTCAGTTCTACAAAAGTGCTGTTAAAAATGATTAGCTTGATTTCTTGGTTGAGGTTAAGGTTAAGGTTAAGGTTGAGGTTAAGGTTAAGAAATAACCCACGTCAATTTTCGAACGTAATGTCTTACCGTGAACGACCTTCCATTATCTCACTGCAAACGCCAGAAGAAAATTTGATTGATGAGTTACTATGTACTGCAACATTTCAGGAAATGTTGATTAAGTAATTTTCTAATACCTCTAACAATGCCAATTCAAACTAGCATTCTGACTTGTCTTCTGTTAACGAATTATTCGGTCATCATTCGTCCCTGATGGAGTTCTAAATCCTAAAGGGTCTGAAGCTGTATTCGGCAACCGGAATAGATAAAAAGTAACTCAAAATTCCCCAAAGCTACAAGTCAGTATTAGTCACTAATTCTGGCACATAGTTTTTAAGAATCACTTGACACTTCCTTTTTCCCTAGCGACTGGAAAGCTGGTAAAGTAATTCCATTTGCACAAATCTGGTAATAAGCACTCTTCCATTAATTGCAGTCCTGTCTCACCAAGCAGCGATCCCCGTCAAGTTTTTGAGTATGTAATTTATACACAGCCCGTTAACTTCCTAGAAATAAATTTGTTCTTTACACCAGTCCCACATGGATTTATGAAATATTATTCTTGTGGCGCACAACTCCTCTATATCACCAACGATTTTCATGTTACACTTGATCAGGATTCTTAGGTGACCTGACTCTTTTTAGATTATTTAAAATCTTTCGACAAGGTCTAACATAAACCTCAAGTGCTTAAGCTAAGTAAACTTTAACATTGACCCTAACCTGTTTAACTTGATTGTTTGATTTTTAACCACTCGTTCTCAATTTGTAAAATGTAATGGCGCTACCTAATTTCTCATCCCTCTCTTCAAGTGCACCTCAAGGGTCTATTTTAGGTCCCTTACTTTTCTGCTTTATATTAATGACTTACAAGTTTCCGTTTCTTTTTCAATCAAACTCTTCGCTGATGACTGTTACATTTACCTGTTATATCTAGTGACTCGGACTCACAAAAAGTGTAACGTGATTTAGATTCAATATTTTCAGTGGTGTGAACTCTGGTCGATGCAGTTAATATTAACAAATGCAAAACAATGCGCATATCATATAAACCTAAATGATCTGATACTTAAAACCTTGATCATACACCCTTAGAGCTTTTAGATGAATACAAGTTCCTGGGCGTCATCATCAGCGCCGATCTTTCCAGGCAGCTGCATGTTAATTACGTGACTAAGAGTGCTAATCGCATGCTTGGCTATCTCCAGCGTAACATCTACCTAGCTCCTTTATCATTAAAACATTTTCTCTATAAAACGCCTGTGATATCTAAATTCTAGTATGCAGCACCCATCTGAGATCCTTATAGTAATTATCTCACTGGCTCACTCGCGCAGGTCAGAACGTGTACCCATGTTTTATACTAGCCAATTATAATCGCATTGCAAATGTCACATCAATAAAAAATAACCTACTTCTTTCAAGTCTCGCATATCGTCGCAGAATGTTTCGCATTGGTATGTTTCATAAAATCTTGCACTATCTTTTTCAACTCAATGCACAGTTAATGATCTCACCGTAGTTTGTTTCGGCTCGCATTAATCCTCGTCACAAAGTCGGCGTCCCGTTTTTGCCACCCTAATTAATTTTTTTTGCATCCTTTTTTTGCTAAAACATTCAATGATTAGAATCGCTTACCTGCCACACTAACATCAATTATCAGCTACACTCTTTTTGTTTCAGTATTGCAAATTACCAGTTCACGAATGTTTGAGAATTTATTTTGCTCCCATTGTGCTTCACTTTTTGTATTATTTATTTCCCACTCCCCCGTATGAAATGCCCCGTTCCTTGAGCGCAAAATAAATAAATAAATATATCAGCTCAAATGGAGTGTTAATAAGACGTTTATTAGTTTTTATAGCGCCTATGTTTTACTATTTCTGATGTTAGTTCCTGTAACGGCCTATTTTCAACATCGGCGCCTATAAGAACACTATATAGCCTTCAGTTTTGCTTTACAGTGTAGTTTCAGGTCGTTATCCATGTTACCAGTCAACACTGACAGTTCTAAACTATATTTGGTTCCCGTAGGGTGAAGACTCGGGCGAGTTGGCTTTACATATCTATGGGGTTCAAACGGCTTCAGAAAAGCAACCGCTAAGGGTGACATGGTTGCTCGTGTCAGTGTATCCCGCCGCGCTGACATGCATGGCGCGAGCGGTTGGCGAACACAAAACCGCAGAGAGCCGTCCGAGAAGTCTTCGACCTTTTCGGAGAGAACAAATGGGGAGTCTATGGCATACTTTGTAAATGCATCCCAGAAAGTTCTGTACCCTGCACAAGTCAAAGACGCTAAGGTTTTGTTGCCCTACACAGACGCCGCAGCCTACATGTTCAAGGTTCATCATTCAGCAAAGACCTCCCACCCGCAGATAGTACATGGCGCGTGCCTAGCGCACGCGCTACATCGTGCTTGTGAAGAACAGAGGAAGAATCTCAATGACGTCAACGAACTTATTGCTTTTGCCAAGTCCGTGTTCCTGAAGGTGGCCTCTCAAGTGCGGTCCTTTCAGGAGGAGTTGCCGGACGTGATCCTTTCGCCAGAGCTGATCGTCACACTTGAGTGAACATAGCTAGAACCTGCTGAGTATTCCATATGTTATCGTTTGAACGTCAATTCCGTGATCAACGGCTTTTCAGGTGACGAGGGGGCTTCAGTCAAGATTTCTCAAGCTTCCATTTCTGTGGATAGCCTCCAAGGAGACCACGCACACTTGTACGCCAATTTTATGTTCTTCGGAAATACCCTCAAGAAACCTGAAAGTTCGAGTGAAACACTACTTAGGTACATTGCGCTAATTTTCGATGATAGCAAAATAGTTATTCAAGCACGTGTGAAGCTCCAGTCGGTCTTGGACAGGAACGGGGGATTTTCTGTCCTTAAAGAAGTTTCAGGAATTATTGCTGGTCAGTACTCTAGAATCCCGGCGTCGGTGAAGCTATCGAATGTTCCCAAGTACAACTACGCTCCAGTAACATCTGTCGATGTCGAGAGTTCCTTCTCAGCGTACAAGCTCATTCTCAGTGACAACAGGTACAATTCTAAATAATATAACTGGAGATGGTTGTGGTCTGCTATTGTATGCACTATTTTCGGAGTGATTTTTAGACTACGTTCCGCGTGCTCTTCAATCAGATATATGTGAACATGTGCAGTCGCATTCTCGTTTCTAGAAGCATACTGAAATCCAAGTATATTTTCAACACAACGGTTGAGCATCCGACACACCTTTGTTAGCAGATCACACCCATCTCGAAGAGCGAAAGGCAAAACATCACTGTGCTGATGCATTTCCATTCGCCTTAAAATGCACACGGCCGAAGAAACTTAGAATTCACTTAAAATGCGCACGGCACCTTTAGAAAATTTTTCTTCAAATGTTTGGGAGTGTATTTTGCAGTGCAGAACGTCTTGCCTGTACAATTTAGATTATATAATTGTATACGAGCAAACGGTCAGAGCTGTACCTAACATTCCTCATGTAACAACATGCTAATTGTTTAAGAAAATATCGTCCTCTTGCGTTTATTATTTCTGTCTGTTTTTGTTGTGTCGCAATATATATTTGCGTCAGGCAGAAATAAAATGTTTTTCTTTAACCAGTATTTTCAGTTTTCAAGTATTCTTTTTCACGCCTGTTTTACTCCATGCGGCGGCTCGAGCAAGCGACAGTGTCCATTGAACATGAATATGAGCAGTGCGCTGGTTAAATTAATCCAATTGGTCGTGTTCAGTCGAGCAGTTTTATGGAATAATTGAACGGCTGTGTTAAACTGTTGGCACCTTTGTGCCATTTTAAATAACCACTTTTTAGCTTTTTCTGTCGTATATACAGGTCGCGCACGTCTTAGTTTAAATTTCTTTGCATTTAAGTATAACAATTATGGTGGCAATATTTATGACGTTGGAGGCCTAAAACGTTTGTTTATTTGCCTATTTTCGGCGCCTAATACGCGTTTTTTTTTCATGACGAAATATTTGGCCTTTACTCATCACCTCTGGCCACAGCATTCTATGTCTTTTTTATGTTCACCTACTGTTTGTTGATCCGGTGTAGAGCTTGTAATCTGTAATATTAAGCGTTTATTATCATCAAATAAGTAGTTTGTGTATATACTGACTAAATTTTACCGAAATCATCCAATGGTAGGTATACAGACCGTACGTGATACTTGAATGTCAATTGAGAATTAATATTAATATGCATACGCCATTGTTTCATAATGTATTTAATCTACATGAGAGTGCACGTTAAAAGTTATATTCCTACAGTGACGAGCGTTAGAGTTATTTATCAAAAAGTAAGTCTCCGGTCTCATTCTTCTATCAACAACGAAAAGGACAGGACACACAGCCCTTGTGCACGCTATTACTTTTTTTTTATATGAGATCGTGGCCGGCGATGTGTTGTGGATCTTCATTTGCCTCGAGCTTGAGTGAAACAACTTTGCACCACTTGGCAGCAGTGCAAGTTTGTCCTATGTGCCTAAACCTACCTTAATGAAGTATAATCGTCATATCCACAAGAACTTGCACTTCAAGCCCTGCCGCTGAGCGCAATTTTTCCTAGGCTATACTAAAGAAATGTGAAGTGCTTATCTCCATGATTTTTTCTTCCTATTTAAATTATTAAGCCCTAAACGTTGATTTATTATGGGGTTCAAATGAAATGCGAACAGTGACAGAATTTACAGCGTACTACCGTCCAGGCCTGGGTTGTGGGTCAAACACATCACAGTACACACAAAAAAATATATCTATTTTGAAAGGTTCTTTGACACCTCAAGACTCTTTTATCTCGCGAAGTACGGTTTAGCCCCAAGCACTATATCTTCCCTGCGCACTAGAATGGCCACTGGGCGATAGAGAGCTCTTTCACATAACAAAGGAGCCTAAAAGCACACCTTATATGTTTGTATTCGAAAAGCCTTTTTAGGGAGTGCTAAAAATAAACTTTTTATGGTGCAAAATATTCACAAGCCGAACACCCCTAAGAGTTATTTTACGACCAGACTTTTTTCAGTGTGCAGGGCGCACACCCTCGCATCTTCCTACTTTGCACCACGCAGTGTCATCACTATTTAGAGGACTCCAGGAGGCGCATGATGTGAAGACGGCCACGCGCTCCAGAGCTCGCATTTTGTTCGAACCCGACAGTACACTATTTCGCCTCTTTGTTCCTCCGAGGTAAACGACCAATATCGAGTAAACTTTTTTTTCACACAGGAAGAATAAAACCGGCACATGCCTCTCATATACTGTGGTCGTCACGAGCGTTTCACTGCCCGGAACGAAGCGCGTAGTGTGTCGCAAACAACTTTTACACGAAGCGGATATTACGCTATTTCATTTCGTAAAACTCTGCGGAAAAAAAAGACATACTCAAGGCAACTATATGGGTTTTGACGACCCGGGATGTTCTTGATACCGGTAAAATTTGCGAAGTCACCCCCTTTAACTGACGCCTTCCACCGTTTACAACTCACGCATGAACTCCATTTGGCGGGTAAGGCAGTTGTATCAGTGCAAAGTTTACAACTTTAAAATGCATAACATATTCTCCAAGTTTTATCCCGACCTCACTGAGCTTCGGGTTGTCGTATAGTAGTTTCCATAAAGTACGACACTGCCGTTAGTGTATTCATTAATCCGAAAACAAAATGGTGATACCGTGTTTACTCGAGTAATAGCGGCACCATTTATGAACAAGGCCCTCGCGTCTACTATACGATGTTGTCTCTGTCCTGTAAACCGCTGGAATCATGCTGTCGAACACCGTGATTGGCAATCTGCGAGCTCCACAGAAAAGCGAACCCTTAGGTTTTCTTCTTAAACAGTGCGACTATTACTCGAGTAAATACGGTACATTCTAAGAAATGGCTGCGTGTCTACTTACCCGCAAAACACTCAAAGAGCCAATCTCTGCGATCTACGAAATCAGCTCAGCGATTGATGAGGCGGGACATCCGTTTAGACCTAAAACTCAAGTCCGCGCTGTTGCATTACGCAATGCAAGCATGACGCTTTGGATTGCGTAATGCCACAGCTCAGACTTCATTTTGTGGTCTAAGCAGACGTTGCGCCTCATCATTTGTTGAGCTGATTTCGTAGTTCGTAGAGATTGGCTTTTCGAGTGTTTTGCGGGTAAGTAGACCGCAGGCATTTCTTAGAGAGTATAGTTGGATCGACACGAGGTTTAATCGTATGAACGTAAATTAACTTCTACATTTTTCGCTCATATATTGCGTTGACAATTGGGGGCGCAAATGTGCGTATTGAACTGCAAAGATTAATACAGGTATTTCATATGGAGAGGTCTACGTTTTGGGAGTATGTGCTTATTCCTTTGTTATACCCTACATGTCCGAACTAAATGTTCTTGCGAAGGGGTTTGATAATAAAATGCCATTACCTCTGAGCCTTTGGAAAATGCATGCGACTTTGGGCCATATTGAAAGCATTGTCACGTGATAACCGTTACGCAAAGTTGTGTCTTTAATTTGTTTATCTGTGGAGTTTTACATGCGATCAAGGTTCTCAAGAAGTCGGGAGATTCAAATAAATTTAAATTTCTTATTATCGTCAATTGGTAGCCACCAACCCAAACACTTACATTTGAATCAAGGCATTAATTACCTAGCCACTTTCTTCTGTAAAATACTCGATATTGGTAAGTGTATCTTACGGTGTATCATATAAGAAACCCAAACCATACCTGGTGGCAAGATTAGTTGCTATAGAAAAACGCTGCACTATCCCTCCCGACAATCCATGCAGTCACTAATTTCCAGTTTTTAGCATTTAAGATTACACTTCCGTTGTTTGCTATATATTCTAAAGCATTCCCATGTGTATTCAAGTGCCTACGACAATGAGCCGCTTCCAGTGTTTTGGTCGTATAAAAAAGCATTTCAAGGTATAAACGAAGCGACCCTGTCTAGCAGTGATCGCATTGAACAGTGGATCTGAAAGCTTGAATTGTTTAAAGACATAAATAACTCAGTCGGATTGTAGACCGTAATAATTAATGTGGAGAGTGTCATAAAAAAAACTAAATCATGCAGATCTTACGCTCATCTGGTGTAGCTCATTTTAAAACATGAGTTCTAGATTTATTGTCATCTGCGCGAAATATATTCCCCGATGAGAGAGTTTAAAATGCCGGATGCTTCCCACAGCAATATGAAATCTGACAGCGAAATGTTTATGTCTATTTTAATATTTTGTCTGAGAAAGCTTATTTAATATAGTGTGATGGCTCAGGAAAAGCAGAATGTGACAAGTACAGAGCAACATATCACAGCTCGGCAGTTAACAAGACTGCGCCTGTAGAACATAAGAACGGCTGAGAACAAATCGCAATGCAAGAAGCATCAATGAGCATCGCCCTTGGTTTCTGAAGAAATCACTGACAATAGCAAGATGTCTAAACTTTCTTTCAGCCTTGATGTTGTAGTTCTATAATCTGGAACGAGATGTTATGGCGAATGCCTTGCAAGCCTTCCGGAACGCTACCACCTATTTAAGATCTAAAAAAAAATACTGGAAAAAAAGAGATTTTCACCAAGAAGTGTACAAAACATCAGACGCACCCAATGCTTTCTGACAATTTTTGTTATATCTTCTTTCCGCGCAGGAAAGCATGAACAGGGAAACACATCCGACCCAGGAAATATGAAACAAACCAAAGTTGTTGACAAGTACTGGCGTTTCACCATAGTGGCAGCCTCTGCCCTGTGCCTGAGTTCGGCTTCATTGCGGTCGGCCGGATACATATACGCGAGCTTAATTGAGGATTACGGACTGAGTCGTTCAGTCGCGTCTTGGCCGGACAGCCTCACCGCTGCCTCGTTTGAGATGTCAGGTGGGCTTTTCTTTTCTCGCATCCTGTCACAATTTTTTTGTTACTGCTTGTTTCACAATATATGCCGTTGTAGTAATTTGTGCCTGCGAAAATAGTTTACCATCACAGTTTGAGAAGGAATCCGAATAGCTAATTAAGGTGATGTTTTTATGTTTCCAATTAGTTTATGATTTTTCTCATCGGGTATACCTAAACTTTTGTCGGCCTCTTTTTGATAGTAATATGCTTAAGGCTGGCTACGTCCTTTCACTTTAAGTGTGTCAGTAGAAACACCTTAAAAGTGCCTACACGTAAAAGTTTTCCTCAAAGCACTGGATGAGCCACTTGATGCATACTACAGATCGAGCTCAAAGAGTTCAATATTATGATTAATCGTGGCTTAAATTATGCAGTTTGGTGCGTGCCGAGCATTTGATTATTGCTCCGCAGGGAATGGGATTTCGGGGTTAGCTCATGAGAATTCCGGAAAACACTTTGCGAAGCAGCAGACATGGAAATGAAAGCCAGGTTGGCGTTTCCTAGACTGTCAGTGAGATATATAAAAGGCTTCGACCTAAAATATAAGTAGCCTGCTGTGTCTATGAGCGCGATCAGAAATTTCGAAGCGTTACGTTCGATCCAGACTTGGAAAGTAACCGTTACACGTAACGGAGGACTTGTAAGTTGTTATTTTTTTATTAATCTTGTATTGTCACATTACTTTTTTCGGCAGGAATTCGTAATATAATTTTGGCACAAATATCTTTAACAGGTTACTTTATTTCCTCGTTACCTTTTAAAATATATAGTACAAAAATGAATTAATAAAAGTGGGCAATTCAGCAGCATAAAGGTAGTGAGTTCAGCAAAAGAATAACCAAAAATAAAACACGCTTTTTGTTTTTGTATGACCGGTCACTAGAATCCCTTTAAAAACGTGCAAGGCATATACAAATATGTTTAAAACAAAGATCAAGAAGACAACGCCGAGAAAGCGTTGTCATCCTGATCTCTAAACGAATGTAGACGCTGATACTGAGCATGTGCATCGCTAGCTTTGTCTGTAGAATTTCAGGGATAATTTCCGGTCACCGTAAGCTAGCGGGATTGCGGTATGGTTGCAGCTTTCGCTTCCTTGGCAGGTTCTCACAGCTGAAAGGAGTGCACCTACACTCTTTCTCTTAAAGGCGTCACGAAACGATATCGGGTTGGAATGTACACGACTTCGCAGAGGCGTACTGATCCTCTGGCCCTGATGTACTCGCACATACCGGTTCCGATTCACAAGCTTCTTTGTCGCGGGGAAATGGCGAGGATAAGAGGAGACTATTTATTTCAGTGTTGCCTTAGCAAAGCTTCATGACGCAGTCATGGTAACGAAACTGCTTACCTGACGACAGTCGAGCGCGGCTCATAGATTAGAAACGGGAACGGTGTGAGCACTCGACTTCGGCTCGTAACAATCAATGCCTCCGCGGGCACTCAGGTAGTGTCTGGTGTCAAACCACTGCGGTGATGAGGATAGCTGAACTCAAACAATGCCTGGAGCTCAGTACGACTTTTCAACTTTGCCAACCCGCAGAGCGTGGGTATGATTAAAGTTGGCGGCGTAGGATAGGCACCAAGCCACGTGGCCGCTTGTTCTGGCTCCCTGTTGAGGGGATGAACGATGCTTCTATCTTATTATTGTTTTTTTTTGCGACTACCACTTTTTAGAAAAAAAAAAACTCAGGCATATTTATTCATTTATTAAAGGGACCCTCCGGAGCTTTCTGCGATCATCTGTTTATGTTGTTACATTGCGTAGTAGGTGCAAGTTAATATGTATACAAAGTTTTAGATTACAAAACCGTTTATGAAGCAGATGGCAGAAGAAATATATCGGGACTATTTTCTCTTGGAAGACAATCCCCCATTCCCTGCCCATTGCTAAATCTTGACCAATGGAAATGCTGCATCTCGCGGTAAATGCGAACGTTATTATTGCAACACTTTTAAAGCTTGTTGTAAATTAGAGTTTGAGAAAAACGTAAACTGATCGTGGTGCGGGAAACATAGTCCGCAATTATCGCTCCAAAACCAGCGAACTATGTTTTCTCCCCGCAAGCTTGTTGCTAGGGGGTGATGCGTCGGCGCGTCGGCTCGTCTGCTTCCCGGGGCGTCTGCAGGCGTGCGTTTGCGGGACACGTGTTCCTTCTTGCCGTGAATCCCGACTCCGAAGCCAGCTTTGCGATCCTTCCACGTCAACGAGTCGAACTTTTCCTTGTCATCTGTGGAATGCGACAGTGTATTGCAGTAGCAGCGTGATGGTGCGGTGCGACGAACGACGACTGCCGAGCACAAAGTTCGGGCTCCTTGACGACGGTCCGCGCGTGTTCGAGAGATTCCTCCGCGGGTCGGCGGTCGGCCGCGTTGGTGACGCGCAGTGACGCTGGAATCCTTCGCTTGCTATTGGCTGACGCGTAAAGAGAAGCCCCTCCCGTTTTCTGGGGTCATCTCAGGAAAGGGGGCGTGCCGGGGTCTTTGATAGCAATTTTAATAAAGAAATCCGCCGCGCAGGACCGTAATTTTGTGATTTTTAGGATCCTTAGAGCCTGTAGATTGAGTTACCGCCATAAATAGACCATCGCAGAACGCTCCGGAGGGCCCCTTTAACGTTAAGCAGTGGTTCTAAGTAGTATTTAGCGAAATTATAAAAATCGTTTCATCTCTCCTTTTAGTACAAACTTTTATATTTACATGGATCACCCTAATCCGGGCGCTTGGGAACTCGAAAGTAAAGTTGCAGCACATCTCTAAAAACATCAAAATTGTTTCTATTCATTTCTTGACAAGTACAGAAAAAGTAACGTGTAAGTAATTTGTCACGTAACGAGTTCAGTAATCCGTTACTTTTCAGGTGAAGTAATTTGTAACGGTAATTCGTTGCATTTGAGTCTCGGTAATTTGTAATTGTAATCCATTACATTTTCAAGTAACGAGCGTAATTACATTCGATCACACACCACAGATTTATTTGTCACTAAAAACGCTTTATTTTTTTATTTTTTTTATTTTAGTGCCAAGTTTTGTCGTAAAGCATGCTGCATTCCTATCTAAGGGGTTTGCGGAAGAACAAACAAACCGACATTATATAAATAAAATCTGTATAAGTCTCTTGATTCATCAAGCAGTGCGCAAGTTAAAAAAAAATAATGTCTTTTTTTTTCAGGATTAATATTTGGTCACCTTTGCGAGCGCACAAGCCTTCTGTCGGTAATGGTGACTGGCAGCATCTTTGCATGGCTTGGAGTGATGGCGTCAGGTTTATCTGCCAACATTGTATGGCTGTCATTCACCCTAGGAATAATTCATGGTAAATAAGTTATTTCAATAACAAATTACTCGCAACGTTTAAAAAACCCTCAGCAACCAAGAAACAGAAAATTTGAAAATGTCTAATTTTGATAACCACCCTTTAGTTAGTATCGTCACGAATGACAATTGATGAGGCGATGATAACTGAAGAAACTAAACGTTTACGGGGCGAACTTCTGCCCTAAACAAAAAGGGTCAAAGAAAACAGCAGAGCGTCGCGGGCGTCGATGTCGGCGAAACCGCAGGATCGAGCGCTGGGGCGAGACTGACCCTGGCTCGCTACGCGAAGCCCCTTATGTACACGCGTAGACTTCTGGAATAATCGGCGCAGAGAGTTCGGCGACGAGAACATTGGCACCTCGAACAGGCAACAGGATTCTTGAATTTACCAGAACATAATGCACATTAGAGTCAACAAAAATTCGTACCCTGGCTTTCTGCGTGGAAGGAGAGCGCGATAACCGTTATGCCACGGCCGCGCTGCCTACTAGGCCAGCTGCGCGCGACAGTATACACTAAATTGAAAAATATCGGTGTCATGACTGCTGAGTGTATAGAGTAATCCTAGTTATTCTTCCCTTCTGAACCAGTGTAAAGGTAGTGTGAAATATTGTAGACCTAAACTGTACTCAGGAAAGTATTATACTCTTACGCATTAGGAACGACACTTTTCCCTGTCTCACACTGGCCCACTATAACTCCTGTCCCCGTGTTGGCTGCGGGTGCTGACTGGGTTGTTTTATCAATTCAGACGACGTAATAGATTTGACAGTCACTGAACAGTTGCCTGATTATGTGTACATTTATTACGTTAAAGGTTCAACCAGAAAATTTTATTTTTATATAAAAGCATACAACAGGAAATGCATTGATAAATTAAATACAGTCCAGCACCGGGATGAATTTTCGCGCTGCCTTACACGATATCCATTGCTACGAACATCAGAAAGGACGTGTTGTATGTTATACTCGAATAGCTCGCAGAATTGGTTGAGATGACTCTAGCGTGAGGTGGAACAAGTATCTTGCAACGAGCTGTTTATTCTTTCAGGTGTCGGCGCCGGTTTCGTCGTTGTTGGCCTCCATATCCATTTGAGCGAACACTTCGACAAATACCGAGGCACTGCTCATGGAATAATGTACGCTGGTTCTTCCTTAGCCTCGGTCTTTTTTCCAGAAATGCTCTTATATTTCAAGGAAATATTTGGATTCCGGAATAGCCTGAGCCTCCTCGGTGTCGTCCTGACCAGCCTCACGTTCATTGTCTTCCTGTTGGCCAAGCCACCCACGTTGAGCGAAAACATTGAAGAAGGCCCTCCTGGTCGCATCGTGTTCACGATTCATAGCGCCACTCAGACCGAGGCACCGACGGACGGGGAGAAGTCTGTCGATAACCTCCTGATGCGGGAGTCCAAGGTGTTCAGCTGTCCAATGTATTACGTCATCCTAGTCACCTGCGTCGCGTTCAACTACAGCGTCGATGTGTTCCAAGGAACCGTGAACGATTATGCTACAGACAAAGGTAGATCGCTCGGCGAATCGGTGTCGATAGTGTCAATCATATCAACGACGGACATTCTAGGTGGTGTGTTTCTTCCCATGTTGGTGGACCGAAAGTACGTGAGGCGGAGCGTCATGCTCACAGTCAATTACTTATTGCTTGCCGTGGCCCTGGTGCTCCTGCCACAAGCTGACTCTATGAACGATTTCTTGGTCGCTTGCCTCTTCATCTCAGCTTTTATGGGCTGTGGCACAACAATGTACGGGGTGCTAATGGCCGACTATGTGAGCCAAAACAGCTTGCCCTTCAGCTACGGAGTTATGGGAGTCCTCACGGGATTGCTGTTTGTGGCCAAGCCTTTCCTCGTGGGTGAGTCGATCTTCTGTTTCTTGGTGATATGCAGCGTATACCTTATATAACCAATATTTTCTGTAACATTTCATTAATCTTGCCTGTACAGAAAAAGAAATAGCCGAATAGGCGCCACATTTGTCTCTTACTGGGCATGAACCATTCAGATCTCCTCATAATTTTGTATATTGTTAGTATTAAAGTGTTACTGATGAGAAGAGTTGACTTGCCAGTGTCAGAAGCAAGATAAATTTTGTCATCAATAACGAGAGATTTTGAGACAAACTATGAAAGCAAACGTATTCGAACCTTTTGTCACTGCGCTTATGTAGTTTGTTACAGCGAAACATCGGTAAATGGTTATAACTTATCAAATGGCGTTGTGTATTATTTCTCTAACATATCATTTACGTTCGTCATCCTGTGAAATATAACAATCATCGTCTTTACCTGACTGTTTGAACTTTCTTTTTTTGCATTATGAAATTTATTATTTCGATTCATTATATTAGCGTAACACAACTCGAAACCAGTTGTGCACGTTTCAACACTAGTCAAATTTATAGAAAAGAAAATGTCTGTGACTCATTTTCTAAGTGGATAAAGGCAGCTTTCGAAATTGGTAATCGCGGTTTTCCGGTGGAATGCTCAGGTACTGATTGTTCACGACGAACTCGCAACATCTTACATTTTATGGGAAAAGCGTCCTTTCAGTTAACATTTCAATAGCTTTTTTTTCTTTTTCGCGAAACTGCATCATGAAAACATTTAAGGGAGGATTCAATTCCACTAAGAAGATCAACATATATTTTAGCATCTTTACACCTATGTTTATTTATTTTATTATTTTCAGGTTTTTTTAGGGACTACACCGGCTCTTACGATGGATTGTTCCGGCTGCTGGGAGGTTGCCTTTTCGGACTTAGCTTTCTGTGGCTACTGGTTGTAGTGTGGGAGTGGAAATCAAGCGGATCTTGGCACCGCAAGCGAAATAAAAGATCACTAAAAGACCTCCTGTCCGCCACCGCAGCAACCGAACAACCGCGCATTCTTAAGTTGAATAAAGCTGGCGAATCTGCCGCGTGATATATTGACAAGCGCATGTGCTTGTAGGTCCTCAGTCACTGTGTGGCTGAAAACACAACCGAACATATCGGTCGACCTGCCATATTTTTTTCGAAATACTATTTCTTTTACCATGTCACTTTTACGCTTTTACGCTAAAATGTAAATTATCAATAAATGGTGTCGAAATCTTGTAAATTGATATGGCAACACGCGACAGCCTCAACAAAAACACATAATTCAATGTTGTTCCAAAAACAGTGGAATTCACTGAAGGATGGTTGTTGTACGTCTTGCTATTTAAATATGCATATAAAATAACAATAAATGTTTGGTCTCCCCGTGGCAAATTTTGCCTTGATCAACATTGCTTTTTTGACGCCGGGAGGTGATGTTTATCACATTACCACGCTAATTACAGTTGCGAACGCACGCTACAGCAAACATCTATTATCCGCATATGTGTTGCTCCCCTCCTGCTTAGGCGCCAAGACAAAACAAACAGAATGAGCATAACAAAAGTTACTAATGGAGATCTGTACAGCTCTGCGCAACGCTATAGATATGATGTTTTCAATACGCGGCTCTGCTGTAAAGTCAACGCATTTTTTTTTTACTACAAGGTCGCCTCAAAGTTTATGGCAGATGATACAAGATTGTAAACAAAACCACACGTTCAGCTGAAGAAAGCTAGAATTATCAATCATTTATGCCCAAGCAAACGACGTTGCAAAATAAATACGTGTAGATTAGATTTCAGCAGCAATTTATTTTGTAGATTGGTAAAAAAAAATGGCCTCAAGAGTATTTTTCAAACTGCCAGCTGCGGTGTCCACATCAAGATTTAGTTTATTCGAAATCTTGCTAAATTAATAAGACACTAAAATTGCAGTTAATAGCACGTTTATTGTTATTTATTGCACTGTTTCCAGCTGTGGAAACTTCTGCAACAATTTTATAAGGAATTGTTGTTCAAAGACTTTAAAGCGTGCACCCCGGAACGTTTACATTAGAACATTTAGGGTTCCAGCAAGTATGTGTCGTCCTGTGCACAGGTCGACACAGGCATTCTTGGTGCCCTCTTTTTGCCTACAGATTCTTGCCTTACGTTTGTGGGTGAGCTTGAGTGCGTTCTGGTGTGCATTCTCAATCTGGTATACACGGGTGATCTGATGAAGAATTTTAGTGCTTTCATGACAGAACAGCCGGAGACCTTCTTAGTCCAGCAATCGGCTAGAAGTTGCTTCAGATGTTCTTCTATGAACCCTGGTGAATTTACGCCTTTTAAAAGAAGAGATCTGCAAAAACCTAATTTGAAAAGGTATGCAGCTGATAGGAAAGCACAGAAACCGTAAAACAAGTCATCTAATATCTAAGTAAAAACAAATAATTTTTTTGTCTACAAAACATTGAAGTTCCTGCTGATCAAAACTGTGGTAGTGCGATATCTTCTATAAATGCGTATGTCTTTCATTGCACTCTTACGTGTTTCTCGTGCCATCTGTTCTATTGTCCCGTAAATTGTATTATCTGTATGTATACTCTATTTGATGCATGAGATCTGTGTAAATAATAAAGAATGTATGAAAAGTAAATGTGTGCTCCTTGCTTCCTACCCACTTCAAGAGCAGCTTGTCTGAAGTTGCGCTACAGTGTATTATGAAAAAAGATATAAAAAAATGAGCGCGTCTCTACGTGGTGAATGATGTTGATGGGGGCGAAGCTCTGGTGGTGCTGATGATACTGATTTTATTGTTCATAGGTAGTGCTGATGTTGCTGATTTTTTTTATTGCTCATAGGAAGTGCTGAGTTCCGGGTCGCGTTTCGACTTCATTATTAATGCTTTGTGGTCGGTGAAATGCAGAGCCAGTGGTTCTTCTAGCTGATCAGCTTGGATCCGCTAGAAGCCGTGGGAACGCATCTCCACCGCTTAAGTCAACGGTCCATGTCACAAAGAGAATGTTTGGTATGGAACGTGGTTATATATGCATTTGAGCATTTGACCGCAGCGCCCTCTCCTGTATAGATGTTGAGCGTCAACATGCAACGTTTCATCCACGACAGAGACCCCAGCTCTTGAGTTACTACCACATCTCAGAGCCCCTTACTCGTCCCTCAGTCGTGGCCGAGTGGTTAAGGCGATGGACTAGAAATCCATTGGGTTCTCCCCATACAGGTTCGAATCCTGTCGACTGCTGAAACATTTTTTTTTCTTTTATGTGAGCACGGACGGCCGAACGGACGGACGAATAAGGCTAGACCCTAAGGAGCTTGACCCCTCATAAAAGACCCAGAAGACGAGAATAAAATCGAAGAGAAATTAAATCAGGCAAGCAAACGGTGGGGAGGGCGAAGCGAGCAGCGGCGAACCGGCCACCTAGAACGCGACAGCACAACTTGCGCCATCTAGGGGCAAGTAGGGAAGGCCCGGCAGCAGTAGAGGTAGTAGAGGCGGCGATTGTAACGCCATGTTTTGAGGCGGCGGAAACAATAACCCTGCGCTTGAGCGCAGAAAGAGCGCTCCGAGGAAACACGGATGTTAACGGTTGTACCCGTCCTAGTTGCTGGAGTGGGTGATCAACATAATTGACGTCGCCGTGACGTCACCCTACTTTTCTCTTTTTTTTCGCTCATCGGTCGCTCTTTTCTCGATTCCTAGCTCGGTCGGGCGCCCGGAGCGCATTACAATGGCCAAGGCTACGGCTGCGCCGGCCTGACCGAGCTAGGTTAAAGGGCCCATGAAACGATTTTAACATCGAGAGAACGTGCACATTATTACTTTTTTTTTAGTTTACTTTAGCACAAGGACCATAAAACACGACCACTTCTCTCGAAATGTCGCGAATGCGCTGCGTAACCGCAAAGAAAGGAACTATTTCTTGACTTCACTTCACCGTACAGCGGCCATAGGAACTAACTTCGTGACGTCACGGCGGGTGCGGTTATTAAGATCGTTCTTGAACAAGTATATTCTCAGTTTAATGGTAACGGTTAGAAATTATTTCGTTCCAACATAAACAAATGAATGGAAACTTTTATATTTTTGTTCAGTACATGGAGTTTTCGCAGCGCCATCTATCCGGAGTAAGTCAAAGCATCCCCTCCCCGCTGCCTAGCAACGTTGGCTGGCTGCTACCGGACGAGCGGTGTGATCAACGCGATATAAAAACCACGTTTCGGCAGCTGCGTGGTTCGTTTCCTTTTTCGTGCGCCTGGTTCGCCTGTCTGCAACTATACTCCGTTTCACCTTATGTTGCACCGCAGCGAAGGCTAGAAGCGCGAGCTCAAAGCGTTGGCAGCTGCCCTTGGTGCACAAGAGCTTGTACCGCCGAGGTGTGCCATAGAGCAAGGAGCTCGCGCTTTTAGCGTTTCCTGCGTAGCTGTGTGCGCGACTGCTGAGTGCATGCTGATGGCTAGCTTCCAAGGTTCTTTTGCAACGTGCGTTCCACACAGTCGAAATGGCCGGTCTTGGCAGCCTATTAATGGAGAGAGAGAGAGGGGAGAGTCTGCTTTCGCTGTAGCAACGTCCACAGTGCTAAGAAGAGGACAAGATTGAAGCCGCGTACCCCGCGGCGCGTCATGCGCACGTGACCCAGGAAACATTGTATGAGATGAGGAGCATCCCCAAACGCCATCTTACTTGGCCGGATGTCCGAAAATCGTTTCATGGGTCCTTTAAAATCCCTGTATCTGGGAAAAGCGGCGCATTCTCTTTCCTCACTCTAAAAACCCTCCTTACCCCACCTCTAACTTCCGGTTTGCGACGGAGGCGCCCTCTGGAATTTCCCAAGCGTCTCGACATCTCGGTCAGCTGAAGCAGTCGAGATGCCGACCGTGTGGACTTTTCTCGTCAGACAAGTGGGGAATGACTTTATTTAAAGCCCGCATTCGTATTTTCGAAATAAATAGCGCGAAGGTCAAGTACAAATTGTCGGCACAAGCGCGAACTCACAACTGTCATTCTAACAATCACACAGAAGACGAGAAAGAGGTAGCGTTTCTCTCTCGTCTTTCTTTTCGGTATGAAAAATTTCCAAATGGAAATTGCCTTGATGGGAAGAGTAAGTTACTTTGAAAAAAAATGAAAGCCGCTTACAACTCCCTGTAACGCCGAATTGGAGCGCAGCTCTTGAGGAGGAGGAGGGAAGGGCACTGGGGGGGGGGTTAAACTAACCAGGGGGGGGGGTCACGTGACCTTGGGGGTCACGTGACCCCCAATGCCGATGATGTCATCACTGACGTCACTGATGACGTCATCAGTGACGATGACGATGTGGGTACCGATGACGTCATTAGTGACGTCACTGATGACTTCACCAGTGATGATGACGATGACGATGCGATTGTCGGTGACGTCATCAGTGACGTCGCTGATGACGTCATCAGTGATGATGACGATGACGATGCGGATGCCGGTGACGACATCAGTGGCGTCACTGATGACGTCATCAGTGATGATGACGATGACGATGACGTTGCGGATGTCGGTAACGTCATCAGTGATGATGGCAATGACGATGCGGGTGCCGGTGACGTCATCAGTGATGATGACGATGACGATGTGGATGCCGGTGACGTCATCAGTGATGATGACGATGACGATGTGGATGCCGGTGACGTCATCAGTGATGATGACGATGACGATGTGGATGCCGGTGACGTCATCAGTGATGATGACGATGACGATGTGAATGCCGGTGACGTCATCAGTGATGATGACGATGACAATATGGATGCCGGTGACGTCATCAGTGATGATGACGATGACGATGTGGATGCCGGTGACGTCATCAGTGATGATGACGATGACGATGTGGATGCCGGTGACGTCATCAGTGATGATGACGATGACGATGTGGATGCCGGTGACGTCATCAGTGATGATGACGATGACGATGTGGATGCCGGTGACGTCATCAGTGATGATGACGATGACGATGTGGATGCCGGTGACGTCATCAGTGATGATCACGATGACGATGTGGATGCCGGTGACGTCATCAGTGATGATGACGATGACGATGTGGA